AGGAGCTGAAACAACCCTAAAGGAAAAACTCTAATAATCCTATTTTTAAAATAGGCAAAAGGAAGGCTGGGTGTGGTGTCTTATACCTGTAATCCCAGCACTTTGGGAGGCTGAGGTGGGTAGATTGCTTGAGCCCAGGAGTTCAAGACCAGCCTGGGCAACATGACAAAATCCCATCTCTACAAAAAAATTAAACAAAATTAGCTGGGCATGATGGTACATGCCTGCAACCCCAGCTGCTTGGAAGATGAGGCAGGAGGATCACTTGAGCCCAGGATGTTGAGGCTGCAGTGAACTGTGGTTGTGCCACTGCACTCCAGTCTGGGTGATGGGGTGAGATCCTGTCTCAAAAAAAAAAAAGATAAAAGACCTACACAGATATTTCTCTAAAGAGGCTGGGCATGGTGGTTAATGCCTATAACACCAGCACTTTGTGAAGCTGAGGCGGAAGGATCCCTCAAGTCCAGGAGTTTGAAACCAGGCTGGGCAACATAGGGAGACCCTGTCTCTCCAGAAAATTAATAAACTAGCCAGGCATGGTGGTGTGTGCCTATAGTCCCAGCTACTCAGAGGCTGAGATGAGAGGATAGCTTGAGTCTGGGAGGTTGAGGCTACAGTGAGCTGTGATCATATCACTGCACTCCAGCCTGGGTGACAGAGTAAGATCCTGTCTCAAAAAATAATAAAAAACAAAAAAAATTAATAGGCACAGAAAATGTGGTATATGTAGATGTAGACAACCAGAGCACTATTGAGCCATAAAAAAGAATAAAAGCCTATTATTTCTAAAAATATGGATGAAACTGAAGTTCATTAAGTTAAATAAACCAGGCACAGAAAGACAAACTTTGCATGCCCTCACTTATTTGTGGGAGCTAAGAATTTTAAAAATTGAACTCATGGAGCTAGAGAGTAGAACGATGGTTACCACAGGCTGGGAAGGGTAGTGGGGAGAGGTGGGGAGGGTTAATAGGTACACAGAAATAGAAAGAATTAATAAGATCTAGTATTTGCTAGCACAACAAAGTGATTATAGTAAAAAAATAATGTAATTGTACATTTAAAAATAACTAAAATAGTATAATGGGATTTGTTTGTAACATAAATGATAAATCCTTGAGATGATGGATACCCCATTTACCCCAATATGATTATTATGCACTGCATGCCTGTATCAAACTATCTCCTGTAATCCATAAAACCGACTATGTACCCATAAAAATAAAAAATAAATTAAAAAGTTCATCTACAAAATAAATGAGGATTATAATGCCTACCTCGTGGGTTGTTTAAAAGACTGAGATAATATACAAAATGTGTCAGGGCCGAGTGCGGTGGTTCACGCCTCTAATCCCAGCACTTTGGGAAGCTGAGGTGGGCGGATCACAAGGTCAGGAGTTCCAGACCAGCCTGGCCAATATCATGAAATCCCATTTTTCTAAAAATATAAAAATTAGCCAGGCGTGGTGGCAGGCTCCTGTAGTCCCAGTTCCTTAGGAGGCTGAGGCAGGGGCGTCGCTTGAACGCAGGAGATGGAGATTGCAGTGAGCCAAGATCTCGCCACTGCACTCCAGCCTGGGTGACAGAGCAAGACTCTTATCTCAAAAAAAATAAATAAATAAATAAATACACACACACACACACACACACACACACACACACACACACAAAGTGTGTCTAGCAGAGTCCCTGCACATTGCAGGTATTTTATCAATGTGAATTGCCTCTACCTTCTTTCTCCCACTTTAGGGAATGATATAGTTAACATTTTAATCAAAGTCTAATTGCCAAATACATAAAGTTGTGGGATACAGAAAGAAGGGTGAGCTTGTAATCACAGAACACTCTGAGAGGTAGAGAAACAGGATCAGGTCTACTCTGACGGAATTTCTGGGGAATACTGATGTGGCTCCCCTCTCAACCCTCCACTCTCTTCTAATAGTGTTTGAGGATTGGTGGGTATTACAGATTCGGTAAAAGTGCTCACTCTTGAGAAAACTAATTAGAAAGGACTTTAGAGGTCTAGGGCAGACTTTGCCTTCTGACAGGTGATATACATGGGCAGTGAGCAAACTGTAACAGACTCAGTGGGATCCAGTGTTGAAAACTAGTAGGAAATTAAGTTAGAGTCAAGGTAATATAAATACTAATTAAATTCAGTAAGAACAAACTTAAAGTAAGTCACTTAGGAGAAAAAGCATCCTGTGAGAGGAAGACAGGAAAAGGAATAAATATTGTGCAAACATAGTAGAAGATAAATTGGCAAGAAAGAGAGTATGGAGGCTGGGCGTGGTGGCTGAGGCCTGTAATCCCAGCACTTTGGGAGGCCAAGGCGGGCGGATCACGAGGTCAAGAGATCGAGACCATCCTGGCCAACATGGTGAAACCCCGTCTCTACTAAAAAATACAAAAATTCGCTGGGCATGGTGGCACGTGCCTGTAGTCCCGGCTACTTGAGAGGCTGAGGCAGGAGCATTGCTTGAACCTGGGAGGCAGAGGTTGCAGTGAGCC